AGGCAAAATTTGCCTTGCCAGAGCTGTCCTTCTGGATTTTGGAAATCGAGTACTTACTTTGTTTGCAAACTTAAAATCATTTCATTTGGATGTATGGCCAGGGAGCTAGAGCGCTTTGAATTTGAACAATTTCAGCTTTTTAATAACCGAGCAAAACATGGCTCCTAACACAGGAAGCCCAAAATTAGAAAATGCTATTAATTTCTGCTAAAATGCTGTTTTGTGTTCAAGCGAAGATGTATTTCAATGGAAAACCCGAAAAAGTCTGAATATCAAACTAAAAATGTTGTTTTGGTGACCTGGTTTTATTCATTAAATTGATTTTGAAATTYGGGTCATGAACCACCTCAAGAGTTGATGGCCCTAAAAAAATCAGGAATGTTGAGATTCGAAAATCTATTAGCATTTTTTGGAATAGTACCTCAATGCCTATTTGTGCATGGAATATTATGAGATTTGGTGAGGTTGCCCTGCCAAGGTATTTTATATTTTCTTGGTATTTACTGAATACTGCTCTTAATAGGTTGTAAAGTTACAATTAACAAAAGCCGTTTTCACACATTGGAAAATCTTTTTCTTTAGGGAATACTAATATTGGTGAACTAAAGTAATTAACACTAACAGAATACCAGCAAAAAATTCAACACAATTTCTTTTTTTTTTTCAATATCTTTTTTCTTTAATGGCTGCAAATTAATTTTGTTCTTTATATTTACTTTCTCTCTCTAAGGATGCTTGTGTTTTTGATTATTGTCCTAAATACTTTGCACTTTTTTTTCTTTCTTCAATCAACGCGATATTGTGTTTTAGATTCAATTCCACATCATGGCTCGTTTTCATTGCTTCGTATTTTCTCTCAAGAGAGACCTTTGTACATCAGGCGTTTTAAGGCATTTCTGTTTATCAAGTGTATAAATCATATTTTGTATTAAATATGCTATTTTCTTTTGCCTTTTTTAACTACCGCAGAATGGATTTATCCTCGTTTTCAGTCATTCTTATGAGTTTGTTTGCTGTCTCTCACGTGACCGCACAGTATATCGTTTCATAAATTTAATGCCACATGGTATATATATGTCGATTCTTCTCGAGAGATGCGCAGTGTAGTGTGCGCGGGATATATTGCCCTTCTGGTTGAATATTTTTTTTTTTACGCATAATTTGTTGGGTCATCCAAGGACCGCTGACCAGTGTTGAATCTTGTACAAGTCCTTTTGAATCCCTATTCCATTCACCCAAGCCACAGTTCGCTCGAGTATCATAACTACAACTGATTTCCTTTTTCCAGTGCAAAAATAAAATAAAATTACATTCTCCTCCCCAGACCCCGACATTTTCTCAGTTCTTATTCAAGAGAAATCAAAATAGTCTGGGTACGAGGTTGATCTTGACCAACAAAAATGATGGTGCACGATGAATTGGAAAATATTGACAACTTAGAATACGATGCTTGCGCTTTGTTGATTCATTTTAGCTTTATTCAAATTTATCTATATATATGATCGACGCTATAAACCTTATACCACTAGCCAAGTGATGACTTAGCTCATAAATTATATTTACAATAGAATTGCAGTTGACCAAGTTTAATGCCGAGCACTTAGAAAAACAGGAACGCAACTAAACTGGACACGATGGTACAATATTAGTGTTCCAGTCGATCTTGTACTATATATAGGAGGTGTCGTAAGAGTGTGAAAAATCACGGCCCTCACACTGATAGAGTTCCATAGGTGACATTTTTCAAACCAATAGACCGTTTTCTCAAGGCTGCGTGCGCATCCAACTTGACGGGCCACAAAACTGAAAAACGCAAATCCAGTAAAATCGAGAAGACAGTTTTATATTTTAGACAGGAGAATAATTTTATGAATTATCGAAAAAAAAATTCATAGCAATGCATCATAATACTAGTATTCTGGTATCGTGACCCGTCAAGTCCCTTAAATTTGGATGCGCACGCAACCTTGAGAAAACGGTTTATAGACCTTTTTACCCATACGGCGGCCATCTTGAATTCTATTGTTTTAATAAAGACAGTATGGGATGCTGAGGAAAAGCCATTGGAAACTATTGGAAAATTATAGACTGGACAGCTGAAGACGTCTTTTAATTTTAAATATAACTTTACGCTTTTCGATGATAAGCACATCTAAAAAGCTATTTAATTTGCTGGTAGTGTGAACAATATGTGCCACTCCAAAACTTATAACTATTGGAAAACGTAGCCCTGCCGCTCTATGTTTAATAAGTTTTCTACGTGTTTGCTCCCCTCGGTATCCCATAATTCAAGATGGCCGCCGTATCAGTAAAGAGGTTGATTTTGCCTAAGCCTTGGCTTCAATTCCGTACGTTCCCACAGTCCTACGACACTATTCCTAGCATCAAACGTGGTCTACTGCTAGTAGTATCTTAGGTTTTCAACTCCTGCTTCGTGATCAGTGCCGTTCTATAAACAAAAGGAAAGTGATTACAACGAACCCGCTATCAGTAAAATATATTACTGTCGATCAGTGTTTACACCATTTGGCGTCACGTCATACGGGTTTATTGCAATAACTTAGACAGCACTACACATGTAGACTTGGCTGATGTGATTTCCTAAATACATCTTGGACGATCGAGCAAGTCTTTTTTAACGGGGAGGTGAGGGGAGGGGAGGTGTAGTAATGTGGTGAGATTCCTAAGATGGGTCGAGAGGTCAGTGATGAAGGGAAGAGGGATACTCTTTCGATCATATCAGCCATGCGTACATAATTTTAATAGCTACACTCAAAACGTCCGTTAAAGATTAGAATAAAAATAGAATATATATGTATAATAGTTAATTTTATTAAAAACACAGACACCAATGATCACCACCACTCTAAATCCCGTTACTTTGTTCGCACTCATATGCAACAAGACCACGAAAAGCCGCATTTGATGGGAAATCTGATGTCTTATTTTAGACACACAATCCAATGTTGCTGCAGCTATCAAGAAAAAAGGAATGCCGTAAACGTACACAATGAAAGTTAAATTTTGCAATGTTAGTACTTTGTAGTTGTTGCTATCGTTCTCACTCCTGTCGTGTATTATTTGGTACTATTTGTTGTTATTTGTGGATACCGCTGCTGCTGTTGTTATTGTTGTTGCTGTTGTCATCATCATCATCATCACCATCATTGTCTTCGTTGTTGCTGTTCATATTGTTGCTGCTACTGCTGTAGTCGTTGCTTCTGCTGTTGCTTTCCTTATTAATGTTTTTGTTGTTGCTGCTATATTCATAAAGTCGATGCTGCTGTTGTTTTTCTAGTTATTATTGTTACCGTTTCCGTTGTTACTGTTTTCGTTGCTGCTGCTGTTGTTGCTACCGTTGTTGTTGCAATTTTGTACTTTACATCAACAAAAGCGCTGCATACCACAATGAATTGTGTGTCTAAACCCTAGATAATGCATTGCATGAGCAACAACTTCCACACCCAATAATAATAATTATTAATACATCTAAGATAATAATAATATTATCAGCACTTACTGAGCTTGCACCAGGCTCTACACCCGGTATTTCCAACCAAATTCCAAAACCATTTGAATTAAAAAAGAGATTAATCAAGTATTTGATTACGGTTGATCTAAAGCATGATAAATACGACGAAACAAATTAAACAACACCAAAAAAAACCTTCTCAATATGATATAGCAGTATGTACATATCGTGAATGGCAAAACTTCCATGGGAAATCTGTAGAATCTGTAGAATATAAAAACAAGAAGTGTTGTGTCATAGCTCCATGTCTTGTGCTTCGTCTTCGGAAAAGTCACTAATGGAACTGTCACTGGAAGAGGAGAGCTCTTCTTGTTCTTTTAGAGCTTCTTCTGTAGCGTATTTCCTAATATATTCTGTAGAAATGAAAGGATTATATTACTTGGAGGATAAATTCTGATTTGAGGTGCGGAAGTATGAGCAAAACGCGAACGTGTTATAACTCTCCCCACAACAATTTTTTTATTGTGAAGAGTAGAGACATTTAACAATATTATGCAGCGAATAGACGATCATTTAGCGCTGATTATTAATACAAGGAAGAATGAACTACATTTCCGACTTCCAAGGAATAGGCAAGGACTTTTCTTAGCCTTTTTCCCCCAAGTGCTTCTTAAGTGCATTTGCATTGGCCAATCATAGGCTAGCTTCTATCAAATGGTCAATGAGATGGCTTATAAGCTAGACTGTGATTGGCCAATTGATTGCAAACAATCTATCAGCCAATAAACAGCTGACCAATCTTTAGTGGATCTATTTACCTTGTATTTTAATTTTGTATTGTTCTGGTTTATGAAGGTACAATGCTGCAGCATCTCCATTTAAAGGATCCACAGGATTTGGATAAGATAACAACTGAGGCAAAAACGACTCAAAAATGTTGGATAAATCTGTAAAACGAAAGACCCAACATTTTGGTCAATACTACTATAATATCAAGAGAAACCTGGGGCAGCTTTTCTTTTTAGCCCTCATGCTTAGATAGGCTATCAATAAATAATTCAGGGTTTTTATAAGTTTTGAAATAATAGGAGAACATCATGAACTAGCGGAAGAGTCCTGGCAGGGCTTTTATGAAGTTTACAATGCAAAGCATGTTAGCACGATAGTTATAGAGTCTTTAACACTACCACCCTGTTTACAAGTGAAAGAATAATGAAAAGGAAAAAAAACAAAACAAAACCACATTTTTTCAAAGGAAAGATGTTTAGCTAACATGTAAAAAAAATTTATGGCCACCATAACACTGAATGACAACAAACACAAGCAAGCGAAATTATCAAGTTATAAATAAAAGCTTACCATATAATGCAGTCCATGCCTGATTGATAACGTCTAGACATACTGTACCAGAACTACAGTACAAATCAAAGGAACAACATATTAATATTAGCAATTTATAGTTTAATGAATGTATTGAAATTTGAAGTTCACAAGTGACATTGATGGGAACATAATTTTTTGCCAGAGCAACTATGTAGAAACGATTATTGATCAACCTACAAAAAATATCAAAAATTTCTCCCTTTTTGTCAATAAACCTAATTCGTATTGAGGTAATGTTTTTTCACATTACAGACCACTTGTCATTCTTTCATTTTTCAATGGTTGCGCACAAAAAGACAGTCATGGATACGGATACAACTCAAACGAAGAATCTTATATGAAATGGGTAAACATTGGACCAAGATTGCTCCCATCCAATACATTAATTAAAGTGCTACTCTGACGAAAATCACTTAAACTTGGATTCAGCTGAAACTTCCTAAGAATACTCTTTAAAGGTCCAATAATCACTGTATGAAGTGTTTTCTCGATATTCAGGACGAAAGTATGATAGTTTTATGATTATTTTTTGGAGTCTGTGACGTCATAAACTCAACATCGCTCCATACATTTCTTTGTAATTTATGATCAAAATATCAGTAGTAAAGGGAGAAAGAAATACCCAAACACCCCAAAATATAAATTATAGTCACAAGTAATGTGAAATAAGCACATTAGCCACCCTTTGGGCTTCATAGGAATAAAATAAATTAAGGATTTATATACAAGGAAATATATGTAGCAATGTTCGATGTTGAGCGTATGACGTCACAGACTCAAAAAAATAATCGTAAAAACTTCATAGTTTCGTCCTGAATATCGAGAAAACACTTCATTCAGTGATTATTGAACCTTTAAAGAGTATTCTTAGGAAGTTTCAGCTGAATCCAAGTTTGAGCGATTTTCGTCAGAGTAGCACTTTAATATATATTGCCCTCTTCTCTTTTCTCTTTTCATCTTCCTACTCCTTCAGAGGAAAAAGCCCACCATGTAAAGTCAGGATGGAGTAGTGGTAAAATGCTTCCCTCTCTCCGTTGAGATCTGGGCCAGGGTTTGATTCCCAGTTATTGCATGTGAGTTATGTAGGGCTGGGTATTTTTCTCACTCTGATGAATATTCTGGCTTTTCATATTTTTGTCCCTCCTCTCAATCAAACCCTTTAACTAATTCAAACTGATTTAATAGAGCTGTGCTGAAAGTCAGGGTCTTACATTGTACATGTACTGCATAGCAGTATATGGGTGCTTTCACATATATATTGCTCTCATTTTGAATTGCTGATCAAGCAGTGTCACTGCTATACAATACAGTACATGTACTTGCAGTGGTGATTGGTTGTAAACAGGTTTTTTGATTGGTGATTCAGAAGGTTTTTAGCTGTAAGAGTATTTCCCTTTTTCATTATAGACCTTTGGTTAATATAACAATTACATGTAATTCCATTGCCTCGATCGGTAAAGCAAACAAACTGTGCACAAATTAACTTTAAGATGTCTAGTTCATTGTACTTACGCTTCATCTATGTTAGGGTGGTAAATCTTATTCACAAATCCTGGAAGACAAAAGAAGTTCTTTCAGATACCAGCTAGTCCATGACCCAGATGGCTTACCTTGTAAATATATTCACTGTAATACCAATGACTATTGAAAAATTTGCAAAATGTCTATACATCAGATAAATATTGAACAAGGGTTCAATAAAATGAAAACATGCAGCGGCTCAAATTATACTCTTAATTGTGGCTCAACCACTCAATCCTTATGGTACTCCACTATCCCAGTATAAAACTGTTTTATTATGTAGATAAACTTGATATCTTTCACGAAAGGAAGATACCATATCTTTCACACGTGAAGATATCGCTGTTGAATCGGCTTGCTATTTTAATAAAGAATTTTTGAGCTTTTGTTTTATTTAAGTTTCATCGATATCTATATATAATAAACAGAACATTACATGGCCGCTTGGAGATACGAATTTTATCTTCTAATGTTCAATTTAGATATCTCACCCGCTCACTGCACTCACTCATGAGATATCAATTGAACACTCGAAGATAAAATTCGTATCTCCACTCGCTCATGTAATATCCTCTATTTAATGTACACAGTAGCTTACAGCAATTTAATATAATTTCAATAATACACAAACTCAAGAGTACAAGTTGCAGTTGTAAGTTGGTTTTTCACTGCCGACAGTACGAGTCAAAACTATAAAAAGTACCAATTTTTGATTGACAGAAAACTAAATTTCAGAGTGTGACCACTATGTGACACCTATGGAGCTCCCACAACATTGAAAAATACTATAATAGATCTTTTTAAGTTTGGCATTTAAATTTTTTAATGGGAAAATATTGCACACTTCACCATCATCAATACTCTTCATTCACTGCAATGACAACAGGTTGGGTGCCCAATTAATCTTTTCCAACATGATCAATAATGTTTTATGTTTAATCCTGCAAAATTTGATCTGCTAGGGGAATTGCAGGATGAATTAAATTCTTTCCCTTTTTTGAATTGATACATAAGGTAGCAGGAATAGGTGATTACACTGTAATGTTGCTTGTCAGTACCATCCAGGTTGATGACCTAGATGGGCCTGACATTAACACCATTAATTAACGGCAAAACTGGTCTATAGCTATAAATGTCATTTACTAAAGTATCATTTCTTGTGCACGAGAAGACATATACAATACGGATACAATTCAAAAGACAATCTTATTATCAAGGGAATGAGACGTGGTCTGAAAATACCAGTAGGTAGCAAAAATAAATGTCCATTTTTCAAAATATAGAGCACTGACTTACCAATAGATGGTGATTTGAAAGGGTATTTTTCAGGTAAATCCACTCTAACTTTCCATACTCCTCCTTCATAGAGAGCTGAGAACCAAATGTAAAATAAGTGTTAATATTAATAGTATCTTTGAGGCTTTCACCTTTGAACATTAAGTAAGAGCACAACTAACTCACAGATCAAACCCTGAAACAACCTCTGGGCTGATCTAAGTAAGGGCACAACTAACTCACAGATCAAACCCTGAAACAACCTCTGGGCTGATCTAAGCAAAGGTACAACTAACTCACAGATCAAACCCTGAAACAACCTCCAGTCTGATATAAGTAGTGTATGGCTAACCCACAGATCCAACACTGAAACAACCTCTGGGCTGATCAAAGTCAGTATGCAGCTAACTTAAAGATCGATTCCTGAAACAACCTCTGGGCTGATCTAAGTTAGTGTATGGCTAACTCACATATCAAACCTTGAAACAACCTCAGGGCTGATCAAAATCAGGACACAGCTACATAACTTACAGATTGAACCTGAAACAACCTCTATATCAGGGTACGGTTAACTCACAGATCAAACCCTGAAACAACCTCTGGTTTGAAATAAGTCAGGGCTCAGCTTACCAACAAATTTAATTGGAAATGAGCCTGTTGGGTTTTCCAAAGGGAAGAAAATTAAAACTAGTATTCATTTTTTCATAGAAAACCACTGGCTCTGTCATGCATGTCAGATCATTGCTCATGAAATAAAAAAATGTTTTGAAAATGGTATGAGATATACTGCACTGCTGTATGGGTTTTTATAGTTATAAGCATCTGTTTTTCCTATTGTTATTGGTAATTATTTTAATAAATTTTGCAACATTAATTCATTCAAATCTACCTCTTGGGATCAAAACAAGCAACAACAAGCTTACAAAAGATATAACTCTTACTTTAAATTTAATCATGAATTTTGATTATTTCTTCCTATATATTCCAATCACTATATTAAATGCCTTTACAGATTTTATGCTTATAATCTCATAACAGTGACTCAGTAATGAGTCCGAAACGTCAGTTTTTTCATCTTTTCACGGTGTATAATTTACCTTTTCATCATTACTGTTTCATTAGAAACACTGACGCAGCTCACACTAGTTTTTAGCTAGTTATATCTTCTCATAACAGTGACTTAATCATAGATCTAATGTAAACTATAAGAACTGTTGCTATCATTATTCACTAGGTTAGAAATATAATTATTTATGACTGTCATTAAAGCATGCTACTTTTTCTATTATAAAATATTAGAATCTTGGAGCCATTTTTGAGATAATGTCCTTCTTACTGCATTAGGGCTGACTATAGCACACCTTTCAGCTCATGGCATAAAATCAAATAAATACTCCTAATTATTGCCTTTCAGTATTGCTAATCCTGATAGTATATATACTGTATATCTTTAATATATATGCACATATCGTATGTTCACAATAGAATTAGATCTAAAGGATAATGAGCATATATTTTGCATATTAGGCAAGTGAAAATACTTCAGTTTTGGATTAACTCTGTGGGTCTGGGTTAGCCATATTTTTGTGTAAAATATTCATGTGTTACAGCAGCGAGGTTCTCCGGAATTCTCTTTTGTATTGTCAAAGTTGTGCAGTTTTTACTTTACTGTTGGTATTTGTGAATATCTTGCTGCTGAAATGAGGTTACCCCTGAGCAAATAAGTGTGTAATTAAGAAACACAACACTATTTTTTGAAATAAAAAGAGAGTCTAAAGTAAATCTATTTCTCTCTGCTAAGTGTTGCCTAGCTCATTCATCCATCATCCTGCATTTTGCTAATTAAAGTAAGTCTAGAAATGTATACATATAATTAGTATAGCAAATATAACAATGTTACAAATCAAGGTATGTCTCATAGATGTAATGCTATAAAAATATTCAAAAATCAAAAACTAAATAAACAAATTAAAGGAATTTCACATATCTCAAAACACACTTAATACACATATTTTTACTAAAGATACAAAAAATGTTTGTCTGAAGTTGTTATGCATTCAGAAGACATTTAGCACCAGCTACTGTATTCTTGCTCTGCATAAACACAATAGCTAAATGTTAGCATCATATGTAAATATATTCTGAATTGGATCGGAGCTAATGAGTTGATTGAAAACACCATCAATATACATTGTAATGTTGTCATTTTTTTCTGCCTGTGTCATCGACATTAGCGGACATAATATGCAGATGGATCAAATATCCTGTGAATGTATAACTACCCTGGATATTAAAAATACCTCATCATCTGATATGCAGTTAGATTCAGTAGAAAATAATTACGAATTTTCGTGGTATTTAAATCCAACTTCGCTTTAGAACAATAATAAAATATGTCTATTTATGTATAATTTATCAGGAGTCGAGTTAGACGCTTTAAATAACATGAAGGACGTAATATAGGAGTACATAAGTTTTCGATATATGGGTGTATTGAGGTTAAGGGGTTTAGCTTTGAGATCTGACTGTCTTGGAAGGTTAAAATACATGGCAATGCAAGCCAAAGAAACGAAAGCCAAAACCATAACTGTACTTCGTTGTAAACACAAACGACTTACTTCCAGCAGGTCCAAAGAACTTCACGATGAATTCATTCAGTCCACCAAGAATCGTTACTTCGTGCTTGCCTTCGATTCTATACAAAAACAACAGTTAAGGAAACTACAGGTTGAAACATTTAGAGGCGAAAATCTACTGGATAAAACAACCACAACATTGCTGAACCAGCGCCATCTTGGTTCTACAAATAGCCAACATTAATGCATGAAATTCGTCCTCAAAACGGCAAAAATTTGAACAAGGATACAGCTTAATAACATCTGTATCCATCCGTCTTTTCCCTGGCGATGGGGAAGACATAATTCAATCCTAAAATCTACCAAAAAGACGTCTGAAATCCTCCTGTATGTGAACCTAACAATGGATGGTTCTGAACTTTCTGGTTGGTTTGTTGACGTATGCCTATATTTTGGTCACGTGCGAGGCAAAGCTCCGCCTTCGGGGGGGGCAACCATACTACAGGGATATTTTTACTTTATATTTATTACCAGAAAAATATTAAACTGTTTTCGATATAGCATTTCAAACATCTTTTCGACCTAACGAAAAGAAAAAAAAAATTTAAAATCCAATTTACTTTGTTTACATCGTGTGCTGATGGTCACCGGAAATGACGTCATATGTTAATTTACTGTGCTTGCACATGTTACATTACGTCATCAGTAATTTTATGACAAAATTTCACGTACTTCAAATCTTCTAAAATGTAATATTATGCAGTTGAATGATAGCATTAAGAATTTTTTCCAGATTTCATTACTGTGCGACTCGTTTTTACCAGAATAAATAGATGTTTTTGTTGAGTCAGAGCTAAATGGGAAGAGGGTTATGCATCAAAAACCACAGGAAACCCACTTAAAACAATGTCGTTCGGTGAAAAGTAAAGGTAACCCATCAATCTTTGACGGACTCGTAGTCCAGGCTCCTTGAGAGGGATTTGGACTTCATTTTAAGCTTTGTTGAGTTCTTCCTTTTGTTATTTTTTTGCTTGATTTTCGATTCAGCTTAAATGATGACAGCACAAGAATTTATCTTTGCAGCTGTCAGAGACATGAATAAATCATTGTCTAATAGGCCATACGATTTCTAATAATCTCAGTTTTCATAAAGCGGTTTTTCATCGTAAGTGGGACTCGTACGGTACTGTATACCCACACGTTCTTGGCCAACCGATCTTTCATTGACATTGAAGTGGCTCAGTTCCAATCGTTTTCGTGTCATCCAGTGAAAACACAGTATAGCGAGGGGTAACTGATCCGTAACATATGCATAAAGTCAGTGACTGGATAGGAATTTGCACTGCTAACTTCCAATCTCTAAAATGTAATCTGCTCAGTCATGTGGTACACATAAGAGCACGAGCACGGTGTCGGAGCACGCAGTGGGACTAAAAGCCCCGTTTACACTAGCGATTATTGCTGCGATTTTTTCGGCCATCCTGTCCATAATAAATAATGGTAAAGAATTTACTTGTAAAGTTTTATCAGAATACTAAGATTTTCCTAGACGAATGTTTCTTTTGAAGGATGAGACAAAAGATCTTATATTTCCGAAAATTGCCACAAAAATCGCAGCAAAAATCGCTTGTGTAAACGGGCATTAACAGATTTCTTTAGGCATGTCTGCCTACGAGCTGTGGTAACCCTGCAGCTTAATCCAGGGGGAAAAAAAAGGACTACATTAGCAGTGCCCGTGATGTCGACATAATCTCTACTCGCCTCGCCAGTATATGCCTATAAAAAGAATGTTTTTAGAGAAAGAAAGACTTGGTCTTGGCGGAGAGACTTGAGCAGGTTTATTGTGCACATATATTTACTAGTTCTATATACGAGTATATGATTACTGAAAGTCATGCTTACAATTAAAGGAGACAAGAAATAAAGGCAAATAAATATTTTGAGTGCATATAGTCGCTTCGTCTCACTCTTCTGTTCATAGAACAGGGGACCTCCGACTTTAACGCCAGCGAACGGAGCTGCCGTAAATGTGATTGGCTGTTGCTCTGGCTTCGGAGTTTTTTTTATCGAATCAACAATTAATACAACCGATAAACTGTGGGTAAATCGTAAGAGGGACTCGAGTGGAAAATCTCTGTGCATCTCTTAGAATCATATACAAATGGACAACGTCGTTCCCAGAGCCCTTATTTCTTACTGCGCATGCTCGTCAAGGCAATTATTTAGTGGAGCAAAGATGCCTTGCATGGACCTTTATCACACGGCAGCCATGTTTATCCTCATGAGAATAAAAACCTTTGTTTCACCCGCATAAACTCATTCTCAAACTCTTGTATGCGAGGCTACGCGTGGTAGAATCTATTGTTACGTTCCAACCAACATGGCTGCCGCGTGAAAAAGGCCCATGTGACGTCAAGCAGGACAAAACAAAAGAATTCCAATCTCCTGAAGATTGTTTTGTCCCCCAGATTAGCTGTATTCCAAAGTACTGCAAGGGGTCTATATGTAATTATTTCGTGGAGCATGCGCAGTAAGACTGTTGGGGCTCTGGGAACGAGATTGACAAATGAACGTCTGTCGTCAACTAACAACGTCTTCGTGAAGAAGATATTAAGAGCTAGAAGGTTGAAATTCAAACTTGCCTACCTAACTATAATGTAATGCAGTGTTTTGAATTTCTTCAAATAATTCAGTGCAATGCTTAGATAGCTTTCTCGTGGCAAACCATTGAGTCTCCCACTTTTGTTCTTAGCATATCTCAGGTACATGATTTATCAAGCGGCCAGGCCTTTCCCGAATTCAGGTGCGCATTGCATTTAATTTTGTCTATGAAAACCGACATTTTGGATCAGGCATTTCCATTACATGTTTATGACTGCTAACATGGAGGTGAGAGAGTTCAAGAAAACGACAAAATATTTAACTAACAATTTTAAAGCAACGAGTAAAACACAAACAAAACTCGGTGAACAAACAAGTAAGTAAAAAACATCAAACGAAAGCCAACAAAAATGCAAGACACAAGTATAAGAAAATCCGTGAAACCAATCATTCACGACCGACACTGAAAAGCTGCAAGCCGAGCATATGCTAACGAAAGAACAAAAAATTAATAAACAGACAAGAAATGATATGCTGATCCTTTCTGTATTGTTCAGTCTTTGGCGCGGGTGCATCAATGAAAAGTAATCAAGAGTTTTTGCAAAATATCCAGTCATTTTAATAATATATAATAATCAAATAAAGAGTCACGCACAAGAAGCGAACACAATAAAGACTGATTTGAAAGTGTTGGTAAGTAAACAAACTTAAGATATCGTTCACAAGTAGTTTATATTTGAATAACTTTAGATTTCTTAATCATACGCCGGTTATTGTGTTTACACTCTACTGCGGTCTTCTTTCGTTTGTTTGTTCATTTGGGAATCCTGGCCCTGAAGACGCCAGTGACGTACTATACAGATGTAAATCCGCGTAAGTTCAGAATCAATCCTTATCACATAATATGGTATACAATCGATTCTGGAATCGCTTATCAACGAGAAGAGGGATGACAAAATAAAGATCAACTGAAAGTTAGAAAGATTTATTTAAAAATGAAATGAAATTGGAAATTTTTGGTAAAAATGAGGACGATATAACTGAGAATAGAAAAACCTTGCCACTCTGACGTGGTGGATCAGTTGTTGACGGTGTCTCCTGATTTGATTTTTCATCGCCCCAATACCATAAGAAGAAATGCCCCTAATTTCTGATTAACTTTTTTGTCGAGTACTTAATATTTAATGTGCGTATTTTCTCAGAGCTTGTTTTGACACTTTTTTATTCGAATTACTTAAGACAGCGAAGCCTTGCACGGTCGTAGCAGCAGGGCGTCTTTCGATCCCACATCACTGCTCGCACGAACTACTGACTCTCAAACATTGCTTGAGTAGTTCCCCAAGTTCCTTCAACGAAGAACACACTCATCAGAATTTGAAGACATGGCATCTCCAAGACATTATTAGTGCACCAAGGTATTTAACCTTTGAAAATCTATTTTTTCTTTTCCTATATAATAGAAAGTCACGACCATTAAAATTTGTCGAAGAATTTCTAGATGCGTTTTTAATGAATACCATAATTCTTGAACGTAAAATTGAACAACGTAAAATTGAATGCGCCGCAAAGGAACTCTTTTTTGCCTAAAAATTCCAAAATCACTCTCGTAATTTTTCAATGCTGGATGAAAGTATCTTTCACGACGATATGAATTCTTGATGTATTCTTAATCACTACCTTAATTCCTAATGTAAAGTTGAATACGAAAACGAACGCCTTTTGGTCTGAAAATTTAAAAATCACTTGTAGTTTTTCTGTATAAAATGAAAGATTTTATTAAACAAACAAATTTTCAAGTTTGAATGTCAGCATGTGGAAAAAGCCCTGCTAAAAAATTGTAACTCATTACGAGTGCTCCTTCTCAGTACAATACAGCGAAAAAGAAACTACTTCATTCCCAAATATATAGAAATGAAAGAATCAGTTTTTAAATTCAGTAAATGAAATTCTCGCATCGAAAAAGATAACGTCTTTTTCGTGGGTTTCAAGGTCGTTTGATTGAGCTCAAAAACTGGCCATCAAAATAACAAAATTTCCATTCCAGTTCTGTGTTTGGAAGAATGTAATTCACCTCCCTTGTCTTACAGAACCACTTCATTGGCAAAGCTTTAATTTACAAATTGTTGACAATAATAACGGGAAAAGGAATTCACTCAAAACAAATGAAAAAGCGAGTAATTTGAAGATGTTTTTAGTGAGGTTCCACACCTGCCCTCATGTCTTGGAATTACTAAGGACTACCTATAATTGTTTCCTCGTAAATGCTTCCGTTCGTTTAGTATTAAAACTTGAAGTGGCTATAGACACATCGATAACAGACTAGTTTACCTGAACGGAAATTTACTCAAATGTTTTCAACTTAAGTCTTTATCACGCCTATTACGCCTGGCGAATGGTCGTAATTTGGAGACTATTCAAATCAATTGTCATTTTTGAGTGCCTTAGGCAAGGTGTACATAATCAAAGTGAAGAAAGAAAGAAAGAAACTAAAGGCGCATGGTGAATTGAAGTACCTACGCGAATTCAAGACCAAACTCGACTCGCCTACACTTCTGATTATTTGTTTAGCTTCAGGCCTGACGCAGTGAGGTAGAATACATACGCAAAGATCAATCATACTTCTGAGTAGAGACTTTCATTGCTTGTAAAAATATACAGAACAAACAGAAGACATTGCAAAAAATGCCGGTGAATATGACTGTCGATACAGCAGCCTACGAACAACAAGTTAAAAATGTTCAAAATTTAGATATGCCATTAAAAATTACTTCTTTATTATATTGATTGATAGTTTTCGTTGACGAATATTTGACATGAAAAATTTAAAAACATATCGTGGAATGCCTTACCAGTAAAGGTCTAAAACGTTTATCAAAATCTATTGGATCTAACCGATTCTTTCACTTATGCTTTCCGAACTGAAATGAGTAGAAAAAAGAAGAAGAAATTAAGGGTGTTAATTGTGGAAACCAATATTATTGAAAATCTTGAAACTAAAAACTGAAATGCCAATGCCCCCAGAAAGAGAGAGAGAGAGATAATAGCAGGAAAGAAAGAACGGAAAGTAATGTGTTTTTTTGAAGAGATAAAATTTGAATGGAAAAAGATGTGGGTGATAAAGTTTGAACATAGAATTGTTAAAGTAAAACCTATTTATAGATGGCTTTAAGGTGGTAAAAATTCTTCATCAAAACAACACAAAACCATTACAGATATCCAAGCATTTGTTAATTGCATTTACGTCCCTAGTTTTGGCACATACATAAGTGAAAGAGCCACTGAAAATTTCCTTTTACATTATTATAACCTCTTCTATTTATGGAAAACCCCAACTACATTAAACAACGACTAAATATTGACTCCGACGAATTAGAGAATTGCTGTATTCTTTTTTAATATTTTAGTCGCGGAAAGAAGATGGACGAGCTGATGATGTCCACCTCATCACTGTCACTTCGTAATTAAACTTTCCACGCTTTATTCAAAACAACCTCCCATATGTTGGTTTTGTTGATTTATTTTATTGAAAATATATTAATGCCCATTTTCTCTTGTTAGCTTGATTAAGATTTGGTAAAAATGGAGTTTATTTTAAAGATAGTTTCATTTTGAATTTAGAGTGGTCAAAGTTGGCGTTGGTTTGGATCAAGCTCTATATCAGTAGTGCTATATCCATTGTCACTGATTTAGCTATTAGTATGATGAATATAAGTACTACCTTCATAAAAATATAATAGGGGTCAAAAATATGTACATCTTTGATTGAAGCCCTCGAGTCGTACTCAATTTTAAATTATATTCAAAGCGAGAGAAGAAAAAGAAAAGCAAGGAGAAAGGAGAGGGCAATACTGGGCTTCAAGGTAAGAATCGTCACGCGGCGTAGAGTACCCCTTCCAGTTGAGAAAATTAATAGAATTGAACAACTTTTCATAAACACAGCTTCGAATTCAGCTTCTAGCATATTTAGTTACAAAGTTGAAGGATTTTTAAACTTAAGAAAAGCATCTAATGTGCTTCAAAGTACGAATCATTGTACATGTCGTACAGTTGAAAAAATACCAGTACGGCTGAATGTTCTGGCTAAAGATATGCCATATTATATAAATTCTAGGGAAGGATTATCGTTTGAAAATTGCATATAGTAGCTACTAGAAATATTTTGATGAAATATTCATGGATTCTCGTTTAAAGAGAAGCTTTCAAAGTAGTTACGATGATAGTAAAAGTGCAGGTCTTTGATTTTTTTTTCTATGGCCAAATTATCCTTTTCAAATTCAGTGTTCAGCTATAACATCTTAAGCAACTGGCCTAACAAGGACGTGGTGTAGTAAGAACGAAGAATGAATGCATGGTTTTCATGGGTAGTGCAAGAACTCCAACCAAGGAAGCAAGGGTGGCTTTAAAAGTAGTACTCTCACCTCAGGTTCGATTCTTGGACTCGGCATCAAACTATATGAGTTGCATGAGTTTACCAAGTCCCTCCTTTAATTTGAAAGGCTTTCTCCGGGTACAACGGCTTTTTTATTTTTTTGTTTTGTTTTTTTGTTTTTTTGTTCTACTCTCACAAAACCTAACAAGCTACATTCTCTGAGTCACTTAGTCTGTTAGTCACTTAGTCAAAGTGTGTTTTCAGCGGCCTGATAAAAATTGAAAGTTTCAAACCATGACCACTTGCTGCATGGCATATCATGGAAGTTAACTAGTATGATTTTTTAATATATCTATAAAAAATTGAATGAAATTTGGCTTAATTTTGTTGGTTTGAACAGCGCCTGGTTTTGGGTTCTTCCAGGTTATATCGCTACGGTTTACACCGCAACTGACTCGAGCTGCAGGTCACGACACGGCATCCGTACACTGTTATAGATCCTCGGCCCACATTCCCTTATTATACGTGTATGTTGCGGCATATACTTATGAAAGAGTATACAAGACTGATATATATTTTTCTACTTAAGAAACGACAAAATAACGGGTTTCTTATTTCAGGAGAACTTTGAATGATTTGTGCGATTCTAACTTATTTCGACTAGCGTCACTGTTTCTGGTCGGATATTTCTTCTTGTCAAATGTAATCAATTCTACAAAACATAATAAATAATAGAATACATATATGGGCGATATATAATATTACAATTTTCCTATCATGCTGGGGACTGTGTTGGATACTAACTGAAGAATATTCGGATTGTTTTTCTCCTTGTTATGAAAATATAAATGATCGCCACATGGAAAGGAGTTTCGCATACTTTACAGTTTCTTCTTAAAAAAAGGTGTTAGGTTACAGGTGTCCCAGTTCTCTTCCTTGATTTGGAGGTTTTTCTCCGGGTTCTCTAATTTTTCTTAGTTTCTCTGCGAAACCTAACGAGCTAAACTATATTTTGATCTGCAATTTAGTCATTCCTTGCCTTTGAGCAGCCTAGCGCTTGGTTCATTGAAGATTAATTTTTCTTTTTGAAGGAGTTTAGAATACAAACTGTAAATATAATGAAAGTATGTATATTGTATTAAAAAACTGAAATATTCAAGTAGAAATGCCAACAATGTTAAGTGTACCGAAATATTTCGCCTCTGAAACTTTATCAATCATAATCAATTATTAACATGTTATCGTTAGCAAGCCGAAGAACGCGCACTGAAATAATAAACCCTTTCAAGTCTAGTCAATGAAATTCTACTATTCTTCTTGTTAGGTTCACTAAGTTCATAAAAGGCATGCAGTTCTTCTGGTCTTTGATGTGAAAGGTACTCGTGTTGACGTGTAGGTCGTTTATTCTTCGACTTACTTTGTTATTTGATTTACTTTCAATACGTAGTACGTGGGAAGGGTAGCTCCCCCGCCATTAGAAGATATAGTGGGAAGATTTCATCCAAAGCCATATGTTTCACCCTAATCCATCAAACCAGGTTTTTTTTCCTTCAAAACTTCGAGTTCTTGAATTAGCCGGAYAGTGGCAAGTTGGTCTACGAATTTAAGGTTTGATTACCATTAATTCTTCACTTTCTTGTTTTCATCTTTTTAGTCATTTTTATTCGTTCAAGTATTAAATATTCACTTGAACATTTGAAGTACAATCATACAAAGTTGACAAAGCCATAGAAAAATCAATTGATAAAAAAACTCTTTCTTATTAGTATTTGTTAAGAGAAAGGTCTAGGCCTACTGATGAAAACGTCCAATTCAAGGAAAGCGCTTTCCTTACGGACTCTCTTCGAGTCCACAATTTCTTTTTAATGAGAAACAACTTCATTAATATGAGATAGAGGCTCTAAAGTTCAATTACCTATCAGTCTTGAGTATAAAAATGCGTAATTGAGTTTGCTCTATATGTATTTTAAAAGCAGGATTTCTAAATAATGGATTATCGATGGCTTAAATGAAGGAAGAAAGCCGTAAGAAAATGGAGATTTCCCAAGATTGACCCGCAACATCAATTTTTTTCTATTTGTAGCTCGTTCTTTTTTTGCTTTGTTTTTCAGAACCTTCTGCATTTTTTTCTTTCAACTTTTGTCAGCTTCTTAATTTTAATTTTAACTTTTCTTTTAAATTTTCTTAAAAAAAGTGTTTCTGATTTTATCGTTACCCAATAAGTAACAGACTTGATTCTTTCAGGAAACTATATGAAACACTAGAAATTGAAACGCGTTGTAAAACAAATTCACAAATTTTACTGACGTGAGGAGAACAGGCTAATTAAAAGAGTAAAATAAGTAATGAAAACACTGACAACACTGAACTCTAGCTATCTTACACTTGATAATGGGGTCACGATGATACCGAAACGTCGTGTTTTGTTGTCACTGAATTTTGTAAACACTGACAATATAACAATAAACACTCAAAGAGTTACCTTTTGGAAATATTTTTTTACGGATTTTTTTCTGAGCGATTTTCACTCATCAAAAAGACCAAAAATTAGAAAAACAACTCAAACTTTTTCAATCTCTAGCCGCTTCATCTCAGTGAACAACTTGGAAATGAAAAAATGTTTCCGGCGCTACAAATGTATATGATGTTGTTGATGATGATGATGATGACGATGATGATGATGATGACGATGATGATGATGATGATGATGATGATGATGATGATGATGATGATGATGATGATGTTGATGATGATGATGATGATGATGTTGATGATGATGATGATGATGATAACAATAATCTTGATCAGCTTGGACTTTGAAACTAAATTCAATAAAAAGACGAACGCTAGAAGATTACAACGTTTCGACATCGTCCGTTGTCATTATCAAGTAAAGTGATGGAGGAATAATTCAACATTAAATACAAAAAAGCAACAATAGTAGCCTCCTTTGCAGCCGTTCTTAGGGTCGTCACGCAACGTTTCCTAAGAACGGCTGCAAAGGAGGCTACAACAATAGTTGAGTAAATTAAATTATGAAACGGTCCAGTTAACAGTCAATGTAAATTCCTTAAAACATAATTAATGGTGAGGGCCACAGTATTCACGTTGTGTGGTAGCGATCGCATCCACGCAGTTAACGCACCGCACATTTTCTGGCAGTTGCTGTTCTTTTATATACGAACTTACTAAATTCTCTCGTACTTTATCCCAGTTATCAGAAACGCTCAAAATACGTTTTTGATGTTGCGTTTTAGATTCAGATGGCTGGTTATAAAAATCGTCGAGAGGGATGTTTTGGTTTTGTTCTGCTGTACCCTCGCTGCTTTCTTGATTTCGATTGCACTTTTGAAACTCCGGCTTTCCAGGATCAACTCAGTTGAACAAATACTGTTGTCTTTTTTCCATCGCGCCCAATATCCTTGACTTTCAATGAAACGGGTTTTAATCGACGCATTATAAGCTTAAATCTCCATATATGACTTTGTGTTGTTGTTAATAATGGCGTCCTCAGCAATACCCAAGATTCACCCGTGAAAAGATTTGATTGGTCGACATGTATATGAATGTGTAATTAGTTGCTCAGAGGACTTAGATGATCATTTAAGAAGACGGCTTCGACCCATTGATCTAAATTTAGTTACCCGGGTATTAGCCATTTAGATCGTGTGAATAGGGTGCGCAAGTTTATTTCTTGACTTCGGTTGTGAAGGAAAACGTAACAAGTCATTGCTGTGATCATTCATTGACACTTTGACTCCCAGTCGAATAAAGTCGCTTAAGTTTATTTCTCGACTTCGGTTGTGAAGGAAAACACAACAAGTCATTCCTGCGATCATTCATTGAAACTTTGACTCCCAGTCGAATAAAGTCGCTTAAGTTTATTTCTCGACTTCGGTTGTGAAGGAAAACACAACAAGTCATTCCTGTGATCATTCATTGAAACTTTGACTCCCAGTCGAATAAAGTCGCTTAAGTTTATTTCTCAACTTCGGTTGTCAAGGAAAACATAACAAGTCATTCCTGTGATCATTCATTGAAACTTTGACTCCCAGTCGAATAAAGTCGCTTAAGTTTATTTCTCGACTTCGGTTGTCAAGGAAAACACAACAAGTGATTCCTGCTGTGATCATTCATTGAAACTTCAATTCTCAGAAACCAAATTGCATGTCTCAGCACGCAACTGGAACCGTTCGTTGGAAAGCGTCGTGTCTTTTCTTCTAAAGTAATGGTCAGGACTACTTTAGTATTTACGGCAAAACCTTAAATCTTAAATATTTTAAGACTGTCTTAATGAACATAAAAATAAAAATAATAAAAAGTGTCGATGTATTTAGTTTATAAAACTAATTGGGGACACTGAAATTAAACTGAAATAAAGAAATAATCAAAGAAACATAAAGTGTTTTAAGAATCCCAACTGGCAAGGAGGCAAACCTTATTGGCTATTTACAAGCATGGTCGGCAAACTGAATTTGAACTAATCAGTAAATCCATGTATTAATGTATTTCGAACTTTTGTTTGCATGTATTGCACTAACGGGCCGTTGAAATATGCGTTCATGTATCAAAGAATGGTATTCGTGTATTTGAATTTGTATTCGTGTATATGGATTTATATTTGTGTGTTGCACCTCTGGGCCACCGTGAAACCTAGCCAAATACAGTCTCAGCTAGTGGCCACAGCGGGACCACTCGACCATGCTGAATCTTAATGAATGATAGGCCCTTTACAGTTAACGGTCACGTGTCTGTACTGATGAGCAAAATTTTTTATTTCATTTTAAATTAAGAATTCTTTTTAGCTACTTGAAAAGAACAGAATGAAACGATGTGTAACCAGTGTGTTACGAAATGCAGTTTTAATACGATCTCTCGAAACAGGTTGTAGAAAGTTTGTTTGCTCACCAGTATGTTTCACCCATGCATGGGAATCAAGATGTTCATTCATTTGCTCTCAGAGAATTAATCTGCAAGTGATTACTGAGCTGCAAAGGGCCTATTTGAATAAACTCTTTTTGGGATTTCCAGCATTGCTGTTTGTTGTCTCGACATGATGATTTCTATAGTCGATCGCGATAACAGGAGTCTCCCTGTTCATATAAAGTAATGTCAATCAAAATGTTTACTCCGATATGACTCAAGGGAGTTCAATGCTGTCAATCATTTGCGATTTGCGATGTCTTTGGTCTAGCCAATCAGTGTAAGCAAAAGTAAGTTATGAGGCATATCCTATAACGTATTCGTGAAGATATACCGATCTTTGAAAATCCCTCAGCTGTAAGTACATGTCGCATAGAACAATAAAATTCTGCATGATGTCTTAACATCTTGAAAGAAAACACCCATAAATCATGATCACTCAGTCATGCAGTAAAAAATATTTTTGGTCGGCTTTGAGATGATTATTTCAGTTAATAGTGATACCCTTGTTTAACACGGGAGTGTCATATCCGACGGATTCATCTTTTATAATTAATTCTGTTTAATTTTCCTTTCAGACCAAAATAATAGTGGTCACGCAACTCATCTAATCATTGGACCCCGCATTCTTATATTCTGTTTGCCCTACGCCATACAACAGTCATGGAGAAAAACGAGGAACCACTAAAGAACGCTATTAAAAGTGTCGTGGATCAAGTGAAACAAACCAAAGACACAGTACAGAACTCACTTGCAAAACATCCTCTTTTAGTACTAAAGCTATTCTACTTCTTCGCATTATCTTCATTCAGTCTCAAAGTGGTTTATATGCCTCTCTATTTCAAGCAAGTCGGCCTTCCTGCATTATACGCTGGAATACTTGCCGGTTTACCACCATTTGTTCGTGGCTTTGGCGCCTTGTTCCTAGGAATGATTGCTGATAAACTAAAGAAGAGAAGAATTTTGTTTCTCATTAGTTTGGCAGCAAATGCAACGATCCCTCTACTGTGCTTGATTCCACGAGTTGAATATCCTGTATGTGATGTTGGCATCACCGAAGAGCCTGTGACAGACCCACTTGGAATGCCCTTAGAAGTCGCAACACCCGATGGCCCTGCGAAATCATCAAGTGCACAAGTGCTATACCGAATAACAAATATATCTCGTCCTGCCCCAAACGTCCAAATTGCATACTATTCAAAAATTGAGAATGTAACTTATAATATGTGGTCTGAGCCAAGAAGCCCTGTTCTGCTTCACCATCTCGTACGGCGCTCCACTGCGAGGGATTTGATATTGGACGGACAATCAGAAAAGCTGGGAATCTTTGAGTTTTATAGCAGGACCTACGGTCGACGCTCGGAGATCCTGAGTAAGAAAAATTCAGTGACACCTCAGAATGGCAACAGCAGCAACAAAATAAGTGGCAGAGGATCGAAAACCAACCATCCTTACAAGAAAACTCCCCAAGAAAGCCAGGATATGTTATTCACCATATTTATGACATTACTCATTCTCCTTATCATTGGAGAGTTTCTGGGAGGGCCTCTGAGAAGTCTGGCGGATTTGTCTGTACTTGAAGCCATGGATGGCGATAAGGCTAACTATGGAGATGTTGCTTTATGGATGCAAGTTGGAAAGATCTTTCTTGCCCCCATGATATTGGTTTTGATCCGCACTTACTCACTTCATGTATGCGACAAACTGAAAGACAATTACGAATATTCTTTGTACCCGTTGGCTGCTTTTATGGCATTCTCTGCGGTGTTTGCATTTTCGATAAGGTTTAAAGCAGACGAAGAGGATCCAAAAGAAAAGATGAGAAAAGAAGAATCTCAAGAAACCCTGTTTGATGTGCTCTTTAAGTTCAAGACATTTACGATATTGGTGCTGTCTTTCTTCGCCGGTGGACTAAGCGCTGTTCACTATACTTTTATCTTCTGGTATCTCACAGACCTAAGTCCCAAAGATTCAGCAATGGTCATCGCCGTAGTGATTGTGCTCAGAGATATAGTGTCCTCTATAGCCTACAAGTTTTCAGGCAAGACTTTAGGCCTGTTAGGTCCCACCAATACCCTCCATTTGGCCCTATTGCTGTATATAATCAGCTTCTTGTCGTATGCAGTGATGGAGAATCCGTGGTTTGCTATTTTACCCGAGGTTATACAGTACATTGTCTTTCCACTGGCCTATTCAAGTTTTGTAGTGTATTTGGGACAGAATACTCCCGACCATCTGAACGCCACAGTGCAAGGTATATATATATCGATGTTGTCTTTTGGTTATCGATAATTAGTCTGCGCATGCTGCTTTTTTATTCTGCGCATCAGTTCAAGGGGAAGGGAAGAAGGAGGAGATAGGGAAGGAGAGCCTGCGTGGTTCGCCTGCGTGGTTCGTTACTTTTTGATATATTTTTCATTACTTAAAGTGTCTTCTTTTTCAGGTGTCTATCAGTGTCTATACTATGGAGTAGGATTTGGCTGTGGTCCAATTCTGGCAGGAATTCTCTTCGACAACGTTGGCGGGGCTAATACTTTCCTAGTATTTTCGGGTATAAGTTTTCTCCTGTTGGTATTCTCTTTGATACGTCATTCTATTGCGCGCCATTTTGATCATATGGAAGGCGAGAAGTACGAAAAAGTGCCTTGTGAAGAGGGCGATGAAGAGGAGATAGTAAAAAATGAATCAGATTATTAGATTATTAGATTTTTAACACATCCAAAAGATATTTAGACTGCGATCAGTTCCTCTATTTCCTTTGGTCACTGTTGGCAAAGCAGAAAACGCACGCGTGTCGTGTGCAGTTTTAAAGCGCGTGGGGGTTAGAAGAACTAGAGAGAACTGTTCGGAGAAGCACGATGCGTAGCGGAGTACTTCTCAACACTTCTCAGTGTTCTGACAACCCCTAAGTGCTTAATAGTTGTTGTCATGAAGCACGCTCTCCCATCTAATCAGAATGCAAGATTTATAACAGTTATTTTATAATTTGTGTTTGCTTTGGTTCATTTCATTTTTAAAACGGCAAGAACTCTACAGTCTCTTTTCAAGGTTCATAAGCTTATGCTAATATATTCCTGAGATATTATCAGTGCATTTCGGTATGATTGCTCTCGCTCGACGCCTATTGTATTTTATTCAAAATGCTTTTATCAAATATTCAAAATGCCTGCAGTTAGTACGTTCTAGGAGAATACTTGCAGAAAAAAATCTAAAAATAGAATATTACGTCGCTAGATAAGATTCATTCATACTATATAGAGATTTTCTCCAAATCTAACAAAATAATTTATTTAAATCCTTGATATTTTGTTTGCCATGAATTGGGGATCAAGCGTTTTTCTAGATCACATCTGAATCGCACGCAATTTTATTTTTCCCAATTTCCGTTTTTTCTCTATTTTCTTGCGTTGAAAACTTTGATTTTAATAAAATTTACATTAGTACAAACTTCAAACCAAGAACAACATTGTCAACGCGATGATTAAAAAAGTTCAGTTTGGTGATCTCAAATCTGTATCAAAATACCTTAAAATGACCTTCAAAGTGGCCTGAAGAATAGAGGAAATGCTCGTAGCGTAAGAAATAATGAATAATATTACTAATGGGTGTCTTATGTTAGCAATATTGGGCAATAAACCTATTTCATAATGAAGTCAACAAACAATTGCAAAAGTGGGCACAAAGTTTAGCTGAATATCAACATGTGACAATTCCTGATTTTAACTTGAGTGTCGTGTCAAAAACAAAAAAATATCGTCACATGCATCTGACGTCATTTTGAAATAGGTCAGTATTGATGTTCTTTTTACTTTTACACATTTTGGTTTTGTGTGGGAAAATAAATCTGAAAAATGGGAAACAAATTAAAATAAAGTATATGTATATAAATATATGTATGAGGGTAAGGCTTTCGGGGATGGATTTGTAATTAATTTAGGCTGCAGTATTTTATAGTCCCAGGTTTTTAGTGTTAGGAAGGACTGGTCGGCTGGACTGGTTTACCGATTTATTTCAAATAGGGTTGTCCGAACGATAGGGGAGAGTAGGTAGATCAGGCCCAAAGTAGATTGTGGGCCTACGTCACTACTTCGTAGTTAGATTAATATTGACACACTTAGGCTCAGCCGAACCTGATTGAAACAATGTATAACAAGGCGTTCTTCTAGATATTAGATGTTATTATGTTCGGCTCAAGTGAAGTTCGACGTTTGACATGAGCCTAAGTTCATTGCTGCTGACAGCCGACAAAGAGGTTATTTTTAGCACTCTTGGGTTTACACCTAATTGAAAAAACGTTGTCGGGTTCAAAAAAGGTTATATCATCAAAGCTAAGACCGAAGGGGAGCATGGGAAGACGAACAATTATGCTAATTTCATGCGTATTGCAGTTTTCCCTTCCTGTGCACATTTTATGCATTATGGCTTTGGCATGTTGTTAATCTAAGTCGACCGACTTTGCTCTACTGTGCATTTTTACATGTCTATATGCAATTATAATATACATTTCGGAGTACCCAAAATCCTTTTCGGTCTTAGCTTCGATGAAATGACCTTCTCGAACCTGACTATGTTTTTTCAATTAGGTGTATATTGCTGTTTGCATTGATTTGCACATATTCAGATGTATAGTAAGTTAACCATCGCAGCCCGAGATGTTTCGTTTGTTTTTTGCCTTGTTGGACATTTTACCTACGTAAGACAAAAACTCAAAGGTTTCGAATTATGAGCTGTGTGGTCCTTGATGACACGGCGCCATGTTTATTCCCATGAGATTAAAAACTTTTTTTATTATCTTATCCATGAATATGAGGATAAGAGGGGAAAAACTCATGAAAGGTTGTCCAAGGTTGTCTAGGTCGAGTAACAATAAGAATGCGTATAAATAACTGAAATGGTTTAAACTTTTTGGGACATATTGCAACAACTAAAGATTTAAATCAAAGGGAAAAAGTTATAAATTATTCAATGGTTATAATATTATGTGTTATGATTATGATGAAATAATAATTTAAAAAAAATTTTTTGCATGCACAACTGGCAAGAAAACTTGTTTTGCAAATTAATTGAAAAAGAGAGAAACTGAATGACTTTCTAAAAAATATCTGAAAAATTGTATATAAGTTTTTTCCCTTTCAACCTTAATTTTACCACTCCCCGAAAACGATAAAAAGCGTTTTTTTTTCTTTATTTGGGTTTCCTGTGTTTCCAACCTGGTTCCCAGTCATTATCGTGATCAAAACAAAATGGCGGGATTTTATGATTATATGAATTTTCCTTGTTTCTTTGGCTTTTATCAGTTCTACCCCATTTCATGGAATAAAGGAAAAAGAAATCATTCTAAGTTAATGTTAGAAGCTAGAGGATCTAATTGTAGTGATTGTAGACTCGTCGAGTTTTGCTCTCATTCAGAAAGTCATTGCCAAAGTTAAAGGCATTCTGGTTTGTCAGTGAGAAGAACAGTCGCTACTGTCACTTGCAGCATGTTAAGGTAAGGTTATTAGAAGCTAAAAAAGCTAGTTTTACTTAGTGACTGCAGATTTTATTCAAAGTTTTCTTTTATCTTATCTTGAATCAATCCAAGATATAAATTTAAAGGCTGGAAAGCCGGCAGCATAGTAAAATAGTAGTAAAACTTTAGTACAACTTGATATTCGTAGCAACTTAGAAGTCTTAGTCTCGTTCTACTCATAACCGTGAACACCCAAGTTTATTTTATTTTATTTTATTTTATTTTTTATTTCTGTAAATATACTTTTATAATTTCTTTCTCTTTCATTATTTCATCTCCTTGAATAGCTTTTATACATGTATCTCAAATTCCATTGTTTTCGATTCGTAATCTGATTAGTTGACAAACTCGAGTGTCACGGTTAGAGTAGAACAACAGAAAAACTAGCGCTTTAGTTATTCAGTTTTATACTTACGTATAGATGAATTTTTCAAGCAAATATTCTTGGATTTTGGATCTATCAGTATCGTATTCTAAGCAGTCCTCAATGGGGATTTTCTGCTTTGCCTCTGAATAGTGTCGTGGTATCCCTGTGGTATACAATCATGCTTCGCGAGCCGTGTCCATGGTTTGTTTGAAAGCTTTGCTAATTATTTTGGTCTAGTTGCTTGCTTTTATATAATTTTTTATTTGGTATTTTTTCCTCTCGCAGTTTACATACGCTAGAAAAAATGGGATGAATTATATGGCCACAATAAGAGAGGAAAATGTAGACACCGACAGCCCGATAAGTACTGTTTTTGAATGTGAAAAATATTGTTTGTTGACGGATTCAGCAGGGTAACTTTTTTATGACTGTTCTAATTTTCCCTTCAAAGGTCTTTTCTGCCAAAATATCGATCTTTTCATAGTCAATGTCTTTAATGCGCATGCTAAAGCCTCGGTAGTCAAACATCTTCTATCGCACTGCTCTTGCCACTCCTTGAAGCAAAAAATAGGTTTTTATGCATTGCGTATTGTCCAGTAGAGTAAGAAATGACCTTTTATGTGACGCGCCAAGCCAGTACCTTCAGTGAACTTAATGTTGTTTTTAAATCGTTAAGATCTCAGGCTTCGTGGCTTTTTGCGTGGACTTCGGAAAGATTCGAGTGTTTTGTATGCGTCTAATTTTGTTTCTGTTTTTTTCTTCTTCAGGTCAATTCTTGACCTTATCATTTTATTGCCCTCTTTCCCATCCCTTGTCATTGCATTTTAAGGCGAATCATTATCTTAACTTTATTTTGAATACATGGAGTTTTCCTTTTCTTAGCTTGACTCCCTGATCGTGTCTCCCTCGCTAACTAGCAATATTTTCAGTAACATGCATGCACTCGGATACGCAAAACCTCATAGTGATACAAAAAGGAATCGTGAAGCAATACTTTGCTTGGGGATGGAGTTAGGGGCTACCTGTGCTAAGTAAAGAAGGGGAGGAAACGGTCCAAATACTCTCCCGTCATGTCTTTTGTTTTTGCAATCCCGAAATGTTTCAGTGGTAAGCAGGTGATGTCCACGCTACCCATTCACCTCCACGTTGCTTGAAAGGCCCTTTTTCGTTATTTAAACGACTCATCCTATTGTACAGCCGGGTGTAGAAAAAAGTTTTCGCAATTTATAAAATATGTTACTTGAGTAATGAGAAAGGTAGATGGCGTAATTGGGTTAGATCTATATCATCACATGGCAGGAAGACTGCGCCGTTCGTTGTGCGTAGCTTTCTTAACATTATCATCACGATCTTACTGTTAACAACAATTAAGATAAGTATCATCAATAATAGAATGAAATGTGTTTTGATACCTCTGCAGCTAATGAATGCAAGATTAGAAATAGAAATAGCAACTAAAATCGATATTGAAATCCATACACAGAGCGTTCGTTTGCGTTTAATGCATTAAGTAGACACAAAAAAAAACACAAAAAAAAAAAAAAAAAAATCAACGAAAATACAATTTTAAGTAAATCAAAGATTGAAAATTTACGGTCCTTATTGTAAAATATATTCTGACATGATAAGGTTAAGGCCTCTATAGGAGTGCCGTTTTTTATATTTAGTCATCAGCAGTTTATAGTCATATGTGCATCGCTGTCAGTGTATTTTGTTTCAGTAAGGTAACCTATCATGCATTCATATCACTTTCTGGGGTCGACTGCTTGTATCTTCAAAATATATACAGAGGGCAAGATAATAAATTAGTAAGAGAGTAAAGTACTGTGCTGCCAAGTTATATAATTTTGATAGTCAAAGTTTGGTCCCGTCGACTTTATATTTTAACTGGTTGCCGTCTGTAGCAAGTGTCATTTTTGTGATATAAGGACAGGTTTTGTTCGCAAGCCATAAAAAAATCATTTCTTAAGGTTACAAAGCGCTAGAAACAAAGTAGGCACTTAAAGAGCACGTAGAAATCAGAAAATCTACGGTTAAAAAATCATCCTTAAGTGCGTGCTATGACCATAGTGGATGTTATCTTCCCCTAGCCCGCTGTCGCCTTAGTACCGTTACAACGACGCGTACAGTCTTAGAAGACATAGAAGGCATCAAATCTACGATGGAAAAGCAGTCTTAAGAGCTGCGCGCTATCATAACCTTAGTGGATTTGATATTTCTTCAACCGCCGCCTTAGTAACGTATCACCGTACAACGACGCGTAAAGCCTTAGAAGACGTAAAGGGCATTAAATATATGATGGAAACAACTGAAACTTAAACGTCGCGCTTCATAGCCTTAGTGGATTCGATCTTCACCCCAGCCTGTCGCCTTAGTACCGCCTCACCGTACAACGACCCATACAGCCTAAGAAGGCGAAGAAGGCATCTATTCTACGATGGAAAAAGCATCCTTAAACGCCGCGCGCCATTAACTGGTTTGATCTTGTTCCCAGCCTGTCGCCTTACTACCGCCTCACTGTACAACGACGCATACAGCCTAAGAAGGCGAAGAAGGCATCTATTCTACGATGGAAAAAGCATCCTTAAACGCCGCGCGCCATTAACTGGTTTGGTCTTGTCCCCAGCCTGTCGCCTTACTACCGCCTCTTTCACCGTTGCCTCAAAGTGCCCTCTCAGGAATATCAATAGTAGGAGGAGTAGACTCTCATACTTCCTCGGTTTTCCCAGTGTGTGATTAAACATTGTGTGGGACTTGATTTAGATCAGGTCTGATTCCCTCCTGATAAGAAATGACGTTTGGTTAAAATATTTTATTTGGGCAAGATCAATCTCATGATGAGCTCACCATAACATGAATTAAACATAACTTTATTTTTTATTTTTGAATCAATACAGTCTGGAATATTCGTAATGGTGATTTTTTTCCTAGGGTGTAGTTAAGTGGTCATATTCAGTCTTAGCTGATCTTTGCGTCAGTTGGTTCAAACCAGGAAAAATTCCCTTTCAACGGGGTACTTATAATTCTATTAGTGGCATTATATAATTTAAAGTGTTGTGTCGAACACGAAAACATATTGAATATTAGGCTTAGGTACATAACGGTTAAGGCATGCTTTTCTGCTAACGATAGACCCGATAGAAAGAACTTGTTATGACTAGTTTAGACAAAATTTTTGTTATTGTTTTCACTGTTTTGTAAAAAAAAAAAAAACAACCTGCTTTCCTAATAGCTTTCGATTTTATCTTTCTGCTTTTTTTGCCTTTATTTCATTTACTGGTATTCTTATATCAACGCGGTTCTTGTCTTAAAA